TTTTGATTCAAGCCACAATGAAGCTACCAATTTTTAATTCCTGAAAACAATATTAGTAAGCTATGCAAAAAAGGTAAAAAAATTCACTCTGCTCGACTTTGAGCAGAAATTTTAGAAGCGACTGAGTGTGAAAAAGTCGGTTTGTTGCCTTCAGAATATAAAAAATTATATGGAACATTTTTTACCGCCCTCGGACTGTAAAGTAATACTTAACGCTATCATTTAGCGGTCGATAAAGTATACTTCACCTACCGTTTGGGTATAAAAGAAATAATGACAATAAAACTCGAAAAAATCTGTTTAAATTGAAATGTTGATAAACTGAATAAAATATAGGGTTTTTCGAAGTTTTACAACTCCTATTTTATTATATGTTGTTCAAAGTTATTCAATAAAAAATATCGAGAGGTGAGCTGTGAAAATGTTGTACATTTATGCAAATAGTACAGATATAGTAAATAAATAGTATACATAGTACCCAAATCGTAGAGAAATGGTACACAAATATATTAACAAATACCTACTAGATTAATGAGCTAAAAAAGGCTCAGATATTAAATTTAAGATGATAATAAAAAAAATGGTTTCTCCGGGAAACAAAATAGTACCAAATAGCACAAAATAGTGCAAAATAGTACACAAATATTGCAGATACAGTACACATATATTTCATAAATAGTACACAAAATACAATAAATAGTACATAAATAGTTCACAAAATACACAAATAGCACAGATAGTACAGATAGCTTGTACACCATAGTACACCAGCAGTTTACGCCTCGATAAAATTAATTTGATTTTCATGTATACAAGGTGCTCGGAAATTAAATTACATGATTTAACTAGTTTTTTTTTTTAATACATTTTAGAACATTTATCGTCAATAAGTGGTGCGATTATTGTCAATAGGACCGACAATAATAATTGTGTCCCAAACAATAAAATAGGCAACAATTTGACGTTATTTTTTAAAATATATTATATTTGTTTAAACATTAAAAATATTTTTTTTTATTTAATTAGCTATTTATGCAACCATTTACGAAATGCTTTATTTTAGTAAGGCGACGTCCCGCAATATGAACGAGTTACACAAAACGGCCTTTTGTAACGTGTTACATACAAGATTTTGAGTATATTATAATCCAATCAAACATTTTATAAAAATAATATTTGAAAAATTGTAGAGCAAATGTGTCATTTTATATAGGTACCTAATTTGATTAATTTGAATGAAAATTATTTCAAGCATTTAAAAAATAAATTATAAATTATGTGTTTTCGCTCACTTAAAGAAATATAATTATTGAATATCTATGCAACCAGTATTACGGTTGTATTGTTAGTTACACAACATAACTTAAATAGGCATATTTGCATTTATTGTTTAGAAAATCATTAATAATGTTTCTCGACTTAACCAGTCCTTGTTGTCGAATGATTCTCTTGTTATAGCTTGTCAGTTTTCAAGAGAGTGAGAGTGGATCAGCATTTTTACTTATTCTGTGCAGATTTAGGATGGCAAATAGAAACCGATATAGAATTGTTACTAGGTTGTTAGTTCATTAACAAATTATTGTTATAAAACTATTCCATCGATATAAACATTCAAATTTATTTTTATTTTATTTTAAAATCAAATAAAAGGTTTCTATTTGTTTTCTTTTCACATCTGGTAACATAATGAATTTTTTATAAAGTTGCATAATGTTGAACATTATGAGACTGGTTACAGTTGCGAAAAGAAAACAAATAAAAGTGAACCTTTTTTGGTTTTAAAATCAATATGTACATTATTATTAAAAGTTTATAATAAAGAAGGGCAGGTAGGTAGACTTATAAAAATATAATTTGATAAAACTTACAACCTAGCGATAACGTCGTTTTGATCCTTATTTTCCATTCTAAATCAGCACAAAATACAATACATGACTTACGACCCTCTTTCTTGAAAACGAAATAACTTTAACAAGCAATATAAATACTGTAACAAGTTGTTCAGAATAAATTATTATGATGTTTAATTTTTTAATAAAATGAACGAAGCTATGCCTATGAAAAGTAATGATGGTTGTCTAGGTGTCGGTAATCTAGTCAAAATTGGCAAAATATTGTATGAAACACGTTACGAAATTCCGTTTTTTGTAACTCGTTAATGTTATGGAACCTCGCTATGCTCGACCCGCAAATATTCACTCGTTACATAAAATTGGACAATTCGTAACTGGTTGCAAAATAGCTATTTCGTATCCACTTTAATCATGTTCAATTTTATATAACTGGTGGCATAAATTGCACCATTTTAATACTCGCTGCGATTACGAAAGATTGTCACCTTATATGTCAAAATGAAAAAAAAAACTTTATTTAAAGATTTTTGAAAACATTTATTAAAACGTTTATTAAAACTTTTATTAAAACATTTATTCAAACATTTATTAAAACATTTATTAAAACGTTTATTAAAACATTTATTAAAACATTTATTAAAACATTTATAAAATATTTATAAAACATTTATTCAACGATTTATTAAAAGATTTATCAAAACATTTATTAAAACATTTATTAAAACATTTATTAAAACATTTATTAAAACATTTATTAAAACATTTATTAAAACATTTATTAAAACATTTATTAAAACATTTATTAAAACATTTATTAAAAAATTTATTAAAAAATTTATTAAAACATTTATTAAAACATTTATTAAAAAATTTATTAAAACATTTATTAAAACATTTATTAAAACATTTACTAAAACATTTATTAAAACATTTATTAAAACATTTATTAAAACATTTATTAAAACATTTATTAAAACATTTATTAAAACATTTATTAAAACATTTATTAAAACATTTATTAAAACATTTATTAAAACATTTATTAAAACATTTATTAAAACATTTATTAAAACATTTATTAAAACATTTATTAAAACATTTATTAAAACATTTATTAAAACATTTATTAAAACATTTATTAAAACATTTATTAAAACATTTATTAAAAAATTTATTAAAACATTTATTAAAACATTTATTAAAAAATTTATTAAAACATTTATTAAAACATTTATTAAAACATTTATTAAAACATTTATTAAAACATTTATTAAAACATTTATTAAAACATTTATTAAAACATTTATTAAAACATTTATTAAAACATTTATTAAAACATTTATTAAAACATTTATTAAAACATTTATTAAAACATTTATTAAAACATTTATTAAAACATTTATTAAAACATTTATTAAAACATTTATTAAAACATTTATTAAAACATTTATTAAAACATTTATTAAAACATTTATTAAAACATTTATTAAAACATTTATTAAAACATTTATTAAAACATTTATTAAAACATTTATTAAAACATTTATTAAAACATTTATTAAAACATTTATTAAAACATTTATTAAAACATTTATTAAAACATTTATTAAAACATTTATTAAAACATTTATTAAAACATTTATTAAAACATTTATTAAAACATTTATTAAAACATTTATTAAAACATTTATTAAAACATTTATTAAAACATTTATTAAAACATTTATTAAAACATTTATTAAAACATTTATTAAAACATTTATTAAAACATTTATTAAAACATTTATTAAAACATTTATTAAAACATTTATTAAAACATTTATTAAAACATTTATTAAAACATTTATTAAAACATTTATTAAAACATTTATTAAAACATTTATTAAAACATTTATTAAAACATTTATTAAAACATTTAATAAAACATTTATTAAACCGTTTATTAAAACATGTATTAAAACATATTTAAACGTTTATTAAATAATTTAATAAACATTTATTAAAACATTTGTTAATACATTAATTAGGCAATACATTTATTAATACATTAATTAAAACATTTATTAAAAAATGTATTAAGAGAATATTTTTATTAGAAAAAAACATGATTTTATTTATGAATGAAATATTATAATTTTAAACAGTCAAAACTTAGCTTCTACCTAATTGTCTTCAACAATGTTGTATCCAACAATATTATTATTATTATTATTATTGATATCCTAACTGGTTGTTTAGTTTTTCTACATCACTTAGTTTTTGACTTGCAACCGTATTGAACAAGAACAGAATATGGAATATTGGACTAGGATTTTTAAAACAATGATCATTGCAGAATATGAAACGAGCTAGCTTTGAAACCAATTATTTTGATACAAACTGATATTTCGTATAGTTGAAACCAATTTTTTTTTGTTATTTTTTTTTATTTTTGATAAACAAGTTTTGCTTGAAAGAAAGAAATCAAACCCGTTTCATATTGTATTTTTAAATCACCATATATACAATAAAATATGGTTTTTATAGGATAATATTTAGGGATACCAATGGTGTTATTTTCGCCTGGAGATTCCAGTTTTGGCAACATTTATCCAGTCTCTAGTTTTACCAGTAATTTCACCAGTGCGCAGTGCTTTCATTATTTTTTAATATTTAACTTACAATCTTTAAAATCATTTGCGGACAAAACGACACTAGTACTAACACGTGAATTGACGAGTTGAAAAAGGGATGAGCCAAAAAAAGTCCTCAACAACATTATTTTTTCTCTTAGTCAGCATTACTGCAATAATGTCAAATTTAATAGTATTTTCTACAAATACGAGATGTCCCGGATCATTGTGTAGTCGATATTTTATAATTTTATATTAATTTTATTGAAGAAATTATTTCGACACGTAAAAGTGGTATGATTAAAAGAATATTTTAACGAATTAATTTAATGACAATTTTTAAAACCAAATTTAACAACACTAATATTTCAGATTATCAAAGAACCAATTTAATTAAAACACTACCTGATCTGAGGCCAATTAATCTGAATTTAAAAACCAAACAAACACACAGATACGGCCCCACTTAAAAGTACACAAATCGTCGACTCTTCCAATCCCCATCAACCCACGTTGTCAGCTCAGTCAGTCGACACCGTATGCTACAGACAGATAGATGAATCCAACATCACAGGTTCGTCACGCTGGACCTGACACTGTCTTCTCAAACCGAAGAAACGCTGTAAGGTGGTAGGGATAGCGTCAACGTCACAACCACTCATATCCTGACTTTTCACTGCCCTTTCGCAGGGACAAAGGGAGGGGGTTGAACGCTCTAAGGGGTCTAAGGGCTGGAAGCGATGTAAACAGAGTTCAGTTTTCAGTTCGGCTCGAGAATCCGTGAGAGGCGTATGCGAGACAGCGCTCTGGCCGGTTCGTAGAATACTCTCGAGCTTTGACAGTTCACAAGTTTGAATACCAAGTTTTTTTGGGGTGTTATGTGTGGTTTATTTTGAATTTTGTGGTGGTATGGTAGTGTAAGGAGCAAATATGAGAAGCAAAAGTGTACCTGTGAATATTTTTATAAGGAAAATCAACACGATTTTTGGTAAGTTTCTGTTAAACTCGTTGTAATTTTATAATGAAACTAATTTGAGCTGGAAAATATATTTTTATATTTAAATTCTTTCTTTGAGTGGAAATACCTAAATTGTTTTTATTTCAAAAATTAATCAAAATATTTTCATTTATATAGATGGAAAACTAAAATTTAATTTGATTTATAAAAATAATTTTCATGTTTATTATGAACTGCTAAATGTACTAAAACTAGTTTATTAAAAGAATTTATAAAAATGTACCTAGTTTAAGTTCAATACAGTGAAAAATGTTTCGAACTAAAACCTTCAACAAATTAATAAGATTTAAAAGCTTTTAAAAGTTATGTTATAATTTCTAAAAAAAACAACCTAATTTTCTTTAAATTCGTTATATAGAGGTGTAAATTTCCAGGAATACCAATTTGAGAAATTACAAAAAATACAATTACCTCAAATTTTGTCAGTATTTTTCATACGTTTTAAAATATGGAGGTTTCATTTTCGAAAAAAATTTCTTATGATCAGTAGTAATACATATCAGTTCATACAAGTTTTTCAAAACCTTAAGCAACGTGGGTAGGTTGAATATAGTGAAAATTAAAGTAGGTACCTACCGACATAAAATATAAATAAAAAATTTAAAGTTGGAGAAAAAATTTAACTCAAATTTCAGTTTTTTTCGAGCAAAACAAATTTATCTCTAAATTAATAATCTTCTTCCTAAACAAAATGTCAGTTCTTTCAAAGTCAATTTACTAACTTCCTTATAATATAGTTAATGTATTACTAGTTTAAAGAAGAAAAATGAAAAGTGAATATATAATTTCGTGAATTTTGGAAGTATCTACCTCCATCAAAATCCTGATTGACACCTGTTAATAATTATTCTTTATATAGAGGTGTTAATTTCTAGAAATACATATTTGGGAAATTACAAATTTCGTCAGTATTTTTCAAACGTTTTGAAAAATTAAGATTTTCGAAACCTTAAGCTAAGTTGGGCGGACAAAATCCTCCTGAAATAAAGAGGATTTTGTTTTGTGAAATTTAGACTCATAATTTACACAAAAAAAACAAAATGATCTCAAAAAAAATTCTCACTTGCCTCAAGTTGAATTTTTTTCCATCATTAAAAATTTGTTAATTTTTATATATTAACAATCTATCTACTAAACAAAGTGTCAGTGCCAGTTGAATTATTAAGTACGAATTTAGTTTATTTAAGAAAGAAAAATAAAAAGTGGTGATTTAACATCGTAAAAGTATCTACTTCCACCAAATCTGTTATTACTTTTACCAGATAAGTCTACCAGATTTCTGAATATATAAAATTTTATAAAAAAAATAAATCTTATGAACCTTCACCAAAATTTAGAATTTATTTATATTGTTCTATTTTTTCTATTAAGTTGCCACCAAATTTTACGAACTTATATTTTGTTATTAATTTGGAAAAGCCTTATATTTTTTTTATTAGTAGCAAACTTTACAAAAAACAAATATATATTGAAGAAATAATATAAACGGGTATGTTTCTCCACAATATAATTGAAGAAAAGTATAGTTATATGTAAAGTATGTCTAATTATCTTAGGATCATACCAAAACATTTATTTGTTAGTTATTATTAGTTTTACGAGAACGTTATATTTTTTATAAAAAGTTCTTCATCTTTGGAAATCCATAATCAAGCACCAAATTTGTAAAATTCAAAAATTTTCAATATGTACACATTATTGGTTGTTTTTTTTTTATTGTGTATTTTTAATCCACATTTTTCTCAATATTGAAATTTAAAGTTTCTTTAGTATGAATACGATTTTACTCACAATCTAATATGTTACTTTTCCGGATAGCATATGTCACTTCCCTCACCAGCGAATGTCATTTACTATAGTTTCTGTTTTTCTCCCTGATTTTTCCGGAATCATGCCTTGGGTAGCTTTTTCTGCAGCTAATCTACTATTAGTAATTTTATACAACTTTCAAGCAATATCTGTATTAATTTTATCCATAATTCAATAAATTATTTTAAAGAAGATACCTGAAATACCGTTGCTAGTAACAAGTTGGAATTGATCGTTACGTAATCAATTTACAACCGTGATTCTCTTTTATTAATTCATAAGTGGCTTAAGACTGTATATCAAAAATAACTCCTTTCTCAAAATTAATAGGTTTTCCACACGATTCCAACTTAAATGCACACTGTATATTAATAATACATTTTCTGAGAGCTGTAGATAAAGATTAGCAACAATTTTTAAAAATAAATAAATATTTCAATTTCGATTTTATATAATTTTTTATTTTATTTCCATTAATATTCATGGAAATGCGCACATTAAACATCAATATTTATTTAGGGTATTAAATGAATGCATATCGATTGATTATGTCATCAAACACGTGTATCCGACAAATAATATTTGATTATTTAAAAAGAATATTATTAGACTTACATATATTATGCGGATTTAAATCCAATTTTAAACTAAAATCCTATTTTTAAATTAAATTAATTTTTTACGATTTATCTAATATAATTTAACATAATTTAAATTTAGCTTTTCATTTTTTGAATACAGTTAGTTATCTTGCCAATTGCAAAATATTAGTAAACAATGATACAAAACTTTTAGGACATGTCTCATAAACTACTACTTATATCCTTTAGTCCTAAAGAGCTTGTTAAATGCAAAAAAATAATTGCTATGAAAACCGTTTTTATATTATGCGTTACCCTTTAAAAATTTGGTTTTACTTGATGACGCATCCTTAAATCTCGACATGTACACTAAGACATTTATTTAATTAAAAATATTTTCTATAAATTGAATGCAGCTAATGTGGAAAAAGGTTTGATTATTTGATTTACCTTGACAATCAAAATGTGTATTATCAAAATTCAATCCACAGCCTTCTTGATTCATTAAATAAATTCCACTTTTCTGTTTAATTTACAGGAAACAATGTAAATTTAATTTTCTTTAACGTAAATTTATCAAAAAACACATTTATATTTAAAATAGCTAGTTCTCTCCCATAAGATCCTCGAAACCAGAAACAATAATACAAAACTTTTCTTATCTGCCTCATAAAATACTACTCCTGCGTACCTATATGTCTTTAGTCTTGAAGAGCGTGCAAATATTCATAAATATAATTGCTATGAAATTCGTTTTTTATATTATGCGATACCCTTCAACAATTTGATATACTTGATGAAGCATCCTTAAATTTTGAAATGTTTTAGTCTAGCTCCGCGAACAGCTCATTTATTTGTTTTAGAATATTTTCTATAAATTAAATTCAGATAATCTGAAAAATATGTTTGAATATTTGATTTGGCTCGTCTATCAAAATGTTTATTATCAAAATAAACCGATTTAAATCACAGCCATCTTGATTCATTAAATAAATTACCTTTTTTCTGTCTGATTTATAGAAAACAACATAAATTTAATTTCGTTTATCGTAAATTCATCAAAAAACACATTTATGTTCAATTAAAAGAACTAGTTCTGCCCCGCAAGACCATCAAAACCAGAAATTCTTCAGCTGTTAACTTACAAAACAAACATCATTTAACAGATATTCATTTCTCAAGATAGAAGACATAATTAATGAATATTTATAGCTTGATTTATATTTATCGATACAAGGAATAATTCAGCCATATGGAAATGCCAATTTAAAAATTAGTCATCTCCATAAATCTTGTCAAATTGTTTTGTAAGTGTGTTACGAAAAAAATATCATTAAACAAACATAAATTTATGTATAACTGTCACCGAATCACTCAAACATCTTTTCCTATTTCTTTTTTTTTTTTAATTCTAATTTATATCTTTCCTAAAATGTCTTCAATACCGTTTAATTTATGTTTTGAAAATAATTTTAAAATATTCATCCATTAAAAAAATAGTCCCTTGGATCGTATGACAGAAATACCATAAATTGAATATTTGGGAAAGCGAGTTTTTAATTTAATATCTGAAGCGTCCTAAAAACATTTTCAAGAGGGTTCAGATAAATTAAGCAAGAATTATTGAACTCTAAGTGGTTCCAGAAAAAAGGTTTAATACACTGATCACCCGGTTGCAAAAATGCTTGTTAAATTGAACATCTTAATAACCAATATTCCCATATCTTTATTTATCTGCGTAATTTGAAGTTTATGTCATTAAGACAGATCATACTATTCAAAGTATAGCAAAGTATATCAGGTACAGTCTGTTCGCTATATTTACGCGGGTTTCGGATTAAAAATTTTATGAGTATTTCCAGGTAAGTACCCGAAAGTTTGACCTGTTCTTTGGGGAAATATCAACTGGTTAGATGAAATGAAAAATAATGTACAACTTTTTAATTAAATAATAATGGAGAATCTTTTGTATAATTGAGAGCAGAATTAAACTTCTTCATTAATGGAGTCTAATGTGGCTATTATAAACCTAATAATAATTTTATATTACACTTCACACAGAAAATATGGTCTATGTATAATAAGAGGGTTATTTAGCTTAAATAAAATATTTTGTAACAAAAATTTGTTTCATGTAGAAAATTTAAAATGAAAAATAAAAAAATTGAACTTGCCAACAAAAATGAAAATCAGTCATTATCATCCAAAATATCATAATCGTCATCATCATCACTGTCATCAACATTAATTGTTATGATGATTGGACTTATTTGGTTTAGTTTATTTTCACGAGTCCACCAATCTTCTATTAGTTTCTCGCACTTGCATATACAGTCCCGCCACACTTCTGGAGTTGCAATTGAAAGTGATTTTCGCCAAGTTTCTCGAACTGCGTCGTCACTATAACCATTAGGCCCAATATGGTTGTCATAATATTGTTTTGCTATTCCCCATATACAGGGTGTAACTAAATAAGTGTAAAACATTTAAGGGGATGATTCCTCATCGAACAAAAGATAGGATCTTTCATATAAAGAAACTTCATTGGAGCATCCCTTGTTAAGATACAGCCCCTTAAAG